TGTTGGTATGGGTGTGGATGTTGGTATGGGTGTGGATGTTGGTATGGATGTGGATACGGATGAAGAGGACACCCACATCTGAAGTGTTGGACATAAATTTAAGACATTTTGGTTTTTGTTATAGCTCAGCGGTCTTTATAGGTAAAGACCTGGTTCTTTCAGCGCTAGAAAAATCTTGTTAAGTACTATGTTACCTCAAAAAATTGCCAAGATGAGGTCTGTTTTAGTTGAGTTATAGCGAAAACAATTTTTCCCCAGCGGACATAATTTTAAAATGTTTTCAGTATTTCGCATTTTCTGACCAAGCGGTTTTACCAAGGGGCAAAAAAAGTGTATTGTGGGATTGTGGGATTGTCTGTATTACCGTATCGCTAATGTATCGTGGGTATCGTATGTATCGCCAATGTAACATATGTATTCCCAATGTATCGTGTGTATCGCCAATGCATCGTCGGTATCGTATGTATCGCGGATACGAATGTTCCACTGACTGTACCCAGATCCTCAAGTGCTATATTTTGGAGATATCCATAGGTTCTCAAGTCCTATATTTTGGAGGTACCCATAGGTCATCAGGTCCTAAATTTTGGAGGCACCTTTAGGCCCTCAGGTCCTATATTTGGAAGGTACCCTTAGGTCTTCAAAGACTATATTCTGGAGATATCCTTAGGGCCTCAGGTGCTATATTTTGGGGATACGCTTAGGTCCTGAAGAGCGATTGTACAGCGGTACCCTTAGGTCCTCAAGTCCTGTATTTTGGGGATACCCTTAGGTCCTCAAAGGCGATATTCCGAACGTACCCTTAGGTCCTCAGCCCTATATTATGGAGGCACCTGAGATCTTCAAGTCCTACATTTTCGAGGTATCCTTAGGTCCTCAGGTCCTCAAGGGCTATTATATAGCGGTACTTTTAAGTTCTCAAGTACTATTATATAGGGGTACTCATAGGTCCTCAAAGTTTATTATATGGGGGTATCTATAGGCCCTTAAGAGCTATTATGCAGGGATACCTTTAGGCTCTCAAATCCTATTATATAGAAATATTCATAGATCCTCACAGGCCATCCTATGGAGGTATCCTTAGATCCTCAGCGGCTGCTCTATAGGGACAGACATTGCGTAACACAGGGCACATCTTATATACAAGGGCTGTAAAGCTAGCGCGATGAGAATTCAGGCACCACACCTTCGGTAGCTCCATACGGCTTCTAGTATTTCTGCCAGAATAAACAGACAAAGATCCAAGCAACCCCTGGCATCCCACCAACACTTTATAAAATAAATGCGGAAACTTCGGATTTAAATCCGAGAGTTATGTGTACTTCAAAAAGTGAATTAGACAGATAAGTCATCGTAGAATGTCTTGACATCAAAATTACACTGGGGAAACTTTCCTATGAACTGTTGTTTTCTATTGGCTACTGTCCAACCAATAGGACTTGGAGGCGAATACAGCTCAGATTTCTACTCTTCGCCTTGATTTACCCTTAGAAAGTCGTTTTTCCTATAACTTGATTTCTATTGGTCACTATTCAACCAATAGTATTTCGAGGCAAGTGGAGTACGGATTCAAGTTCTCCGCCCCAGAAAACCTCACAGTATCAACTCTGTGATCGGAAGATAGAGCTCAAATTGTGAGTCAATTAGATCGTGGACAAAAACGGAACCCATTTCCCTTTAATTATCTTTGTAATAGGTGAGTTAGCCGTCTTGTTACTTTATATTTTATATACCATTTTGTAGCTCGTGAAATTCTCTATCGAATGGTATATAATAGTTGGGGTTTTATTTAACTATGATAGGAAAAGTTGTTTACGAAAGCTGGGATCGGTCGATTTTCGCATAGGAAGCCATAGGGAAAAATGTCTATTTTTGCAATAACTCACGAATGGCTCGGCCGATCATGCTCATCTTCGAACTCGACTGAGACATTGTTAAGACTAAACTGTGTAGAAAATTTCATCGCGATTGGACTCTTCTTTCAAACGTTATCGTGTATACGGCCGGACGGACGGCCGGCCGGCCGGACACACTGACCGATTCTAGAGTGTACTCACTTTTTGAGTACACAAAAAGAGGAAAAAAGAGGCTCAGCGTTCTTGGGAAAAAGAGGCATTCAGTTTCGTCCGAAGGAAACTAAAACTCACTGACACAATAGTACTATAAATCCGACAAAACTCGTACGTTATCAATATAGGTTGAATATGACTTGAAAGAGTAAAAAAGAAACGAAACTTCCAGTTGTTCATAGAGATTTTTGTGCAATTGCTTATGTATGCATTAGAAAACGGGAAAACACCAGAAAAATAGTTCATTCTATTCGCGTAGAATCTGACTATAATATTACTCTCTCTGACTAAGTAGGCGCACAGAAATAGAAACGATCAGAATTCATTAAATGCTTTTATTGTTTTTTGTTCCTTTTTTCGGTTGACTCTGCATGTGAGAAAGGTGTTTTTTCGTTGTTTTCAATTTTGGGTGTGGGTGTGGGTGTGGGTGTGGGTGTGGGCGTGGGTGTGGGT